CGCAACAAACCTAACATACTCAACTAATTAAAGTAAATAACATTCAACATGAATTCATTAATTAAGACTCCACACTAAAATAGTTCAATCAACTCAACATACTGACAGGCTAAAGTCGTATCACCTAATCAAAAGTAATTCCTAAAACCACTAACTAATATAGATAGGGAAGTAGGGTCGAATTCACAGAGAAACATGTCTTTCTATTCCTAATTAATTAATATAATCTAAATTATCAAGTAACCAAATTGTTTTTGTGAGAATTAAACTAATGGAAAATAATTAAGCTAAGGGAGGAAATCAATAATAAAAGGCCTAGGGTACAGGTTCACCAATAAATAATATTCCAGGGTAAAACACAACAATCAATTATCAATGCATCAATTAATCAGATCATAAAGGGTTTTCTCTACGTATTACAATCACAGAATTAATCTACCGGTATTAAATCGCATCTCTCGAATCTTGACTTAACCATTTATAAATTAACCTGCATATTGAAACTAAGTCTAAACATCAATTCTCATCTCTCGAATCTCGAATCAATATTGCATAATTCATACAATTAAATCAGGCCTAATCTAATTGCATAGCATTAATCCAATCAATAGGAAATCAACCAAAGCATTAACAATCAACAATAGTAAATTACCCCTTCATATTATTTATGGATCCCCACAACCCTAGAAATAACTACTCACATATATTTAAATCTAAACTAATCAAAGCATATAAAAAAAGCATGATTAAAACAACAAATATAAACTAATACGCAAATAATTAAACCAAAGAGAAAACAAAGGAATAATATTAGAACTAAGTAATAATAATAAAACTTTGATAAGAAAAAGAAAAGAAAACAAAAGCTAAAACTAAACTAATCTAAAACTACTAATCTAAAACTAAACTAAGATCATACTCCCCAAAAACCTCCCCCTACGTAACTACTACTACCTATATATATATATATAAGAAAGTCCAAAAGATAAATTTTGAGAAACAAAATCTATCCCCCACTCAAACTCCTCCAGCAAAAATAGAAACAAGTCCACCGACAACTAAAATTAAGTGGGCCTAAACACTAGTCCACTGTGATGAAGTGAAAAGCTCCAGCAACACGCTCGCCCGGCCGGGCCAGCTACTGCCCGACCGGGCCCGGTCAGGTGATTGGCCCAGCAACATCCTCTTGGGCTTTGAAGTTTCTTGTATCTGGGCCTTTTTGAATGAGCTCAATTTCCTATTAGTAGTTTGGTCCGTATTTCTTGTGAGAACTTTGAACCCTTCTCTTATCTAATCGAGCCCCTAATTTATCGAACCAAAATCCGTTAACTCGGTTTTGGGCTTCATATAAATGGTCATAAATACGATCACACACCAATATCTTCGTAGTGGCTCAATAAGCTCGGGAATTATTATAAATCTGCAAATTCCTGCAAAATAATACCAACTCTACAAAAAGACTAGAAAACGTATATTAGTAATAAAAATAGCTCCGCAGAACTCAAATAAGCACAAATATGATTGTGGGACGGGGAATAAAAACATATATAAAATAGACTTATCACATACTCACTAACCAATTCCAAACACTTGACTCGATCTTTATATTTAATTTAAGGCCAAATTAGAAAATAACACCTATTAAAATCACTTTTTTTGCTTATAACACATAAACATTTCGATATTTTATTATAACACCTATTAAAAAAAAAAAATTTGGTTCCACCACCAGTTAACAGATTCTGTGACGGAAAATCTGTGTGGGGCCCACAACTAACTTAACTGTCCAACTTTCCTCCTCTTCCCTTCGATTCTCTCTCCTTACATTGATTACACAACTACTCCATCTTCATTGAATTTTCACTGCTCATACTGAAGTACGAATTTTACTGAGAATTAACAAACCCTAAACTGAAATTTGTGGTTGAGGAATTGAATTTCAAGGGGTAGGTGTCAGCATTGTAGCGAAACAACTCAGCAAGCGTTCGTCGGCCATTTTCAACATCCAAAAAGCTTGGATTTTTCGTGGTCTCTGACAGCAACTGCAGTAAGATTCCAAAAGAGGTACCTTTCGAATTTTTTAAAGTAGTTTTCATAAACTGATGATGTGAATATGCCATTGTGTTGAGAAATGTTGGGTAAATTGGGCAAAAATTTCCGAACCCTAAAAAATGTTAAATTCGGTGTGATTTTCTGTCTGTAATGTGCGACATTAAAGTAATATGTGAGTAATTAAGTATGTAATTGTTTAATGGTTAATTGTTTAGTACAATTCATTGATTTAGGTGAACTGTTGATTGCTTTGTCCTGTTATTGGTGTAAAATATGTTTGGTTGTTTTGAAAAAAGTAGTGCGTTTGACTGTTTAAATGGGGTAACATAAATTGGCTTCTTTTGACTTGCTTTACATCTGTTTATTGGTTACATAGATGGCCAACAACCAAGAAGGCTTAATTGATATAGTATTCAGAGTTGGGGGTACTTTTGTTCCCAAAAAAGTGTCAAAATCAAAAGCCTTGCTTTGCTGGTGTGGTGGGTTATGTTATTGGAGGAGGGATGTGGTAGTGGATAAGATAGATGTACATTATTTAAGGAAAGGTGCTGTGCATGGGTTTGTGCATTATAATGTCCATGTCCCTCCAAACTATAGACTTTGGTATAAACAAAGAGGGAGGACCTTTAACATAGGGAGGAGGGAAATAGTAAATGAAGAGGAAGTCAAGTGGTTTTTAGAGATAGTGAATGGGGATGGGTCTGTTGAAATTTTTGTCACTACAGATGAAACTTTAAGGCCCATACATGAGGCCTAGACCCAGGCCACTCCAAAAAAGGCAGAGAGAACCCAGGCCACTCCAAGAAAGGCAGAGAGAAAGGGCAAGAAAAGTACAGTGGACCCTGTACCAGTTAGGAAGAGCCCAAGACTTAACATAAGTCACCCTTCAGATTCTCCTAAACCTCAATCTAGACAGGATAAGGGTAAGGGGAGAGGAAAGAGTGAAGGGGTTTCCGCTAAGAGTGAGGGGGTTTCTGGTACAGGGAAGTTGTTGGATAAGGGGAAATCTAAAGTTAAGTGTGAAAGGGTTCAGGGTACTGGGAAGGGGAAAAAGAAATCTGCAGCAAAGGGATTGGATTTTGGGGATAACAGTGAGGGCAGTGAGTGTGGTAGTGAGGAGGGATATTCTTCTACTGATAGCAGTGACATTGACATAACATGGGAGCCTGGTGAGGAGGAGTATGATAGTGGGGATGAGAGGTGGTTTGTCCAGAATTCTGAAGAGATATTGGAGAAGGTAACAAGAAGTCTTGGGAAGCAATTGGATTTACAAGATCAGGGGGCTGTAAAGGATCCTAGGGCTAAGTTGACAGAGAACTTAGATGTCAGTGAGGTTGAACTGTAGGGAGAAGTTGAGGGAGATTTAGATGATTTAAGGAGCTTGGATGGGTCATCAGATGAAGAGGACAGAAGTCCTTGGTTTAATGAGAAGTATGACTTCATTAAGCCTATTGTACTTGTTAATAGGCTTAAGTTCAGCAATGTGAGTGTTTTGAGGAAAGCTCTTAGAGTGCATGCAATAGAAAATAGGTATGAGTACTACTTTTTGCACAATGATAGTACTAGGACTACTATTCAATGTAGGAATAGATGTGGGTGTAAGTATGAAACAAAGACAAGTAGGATGCCTTTGTGTATATGCTAGGGTGGAGTGAAGTGCAATTTCAAGGTCCATGCTACTAAGTTAAAAAAACAACAGACTTGGAAAATTAAAAGCATAAGGTTACAACATATGTGTGTGAGAAGCAGGGAGAACAAGAAGGTCACTGCAGAGTTTATTGCAGAGAGGTACCTTGAGGAGTTTAGAAGTAACCCAACCTGGAAAATTAAGCAGATCAGGGATAGGGTGCTACAAGATCTTGGGGTTTAAGTGACCTACTACAGATGTTGGATGGCTAGATGTAGAGAAAAGTTGATAATCTTTGGTTCAGCAAGAGAGCAATATGCAAGGGTATGGGATTATGGGAAGGCAATAATGAAATACAACCCATGGTCTGGTTGTAATGTGGTGTTAGATGGCATTGACCAGCCTGAGCCTCCATTGTTTTTGAGGATGTTTGTCTGTTTGAGGCCTTTGAAAGATGGGTTCTTGAAGGGTTGTAGGCCAATCACTGGGGTGGATGGATGCCACTTGAAAGGAGCTTACCCTAGGAATATTAGTTGCAGTGTCCAAAGATGGGAACAACAACATTTACCCTATAGCTTGGGCAACCTGTGAGGCTGAAAACAGGGAGACTTGGGTTTGGTTTCTGGAATCACTAATGCACAGCCTTGGGAGTGCATATGGCTCTGGCTTCACCTTCATGCCAGACAGGCAGAAGGTAAAAGCATCTTGTTTGTTTGTAGTTTTCAATCAATGCTATTGTTTGTTTTGAGTAATATGATAAGGCTTTATTTTTCCTGTTAAACAGGGACTGGTTGAAGCCCTAGCTGAAGTTGTGCCAAGTGCAGAAACAAGGTTCTGTGTTAGGCACATTTGGTCAAATTTCAAGCTTAAGTTTAGTGGATCAGTGTTCAAGGAGCTTTTCTGGAGTGCTGCAAGAGAAACAACACATGTAAGACCTTATCTGTTGCTTAGAGTATGCTGAACAAATTCATTACTTTGTTGTGTTTGTAGCCTGAGTTTCAGATTGTAGCCTGAGTGTGTTTGTAGCCTTATCAGTGTTACCTTATCAGTGTTTAAAACTTGATGCATTACCTTGTTGTGTTTGTTAAAAGGGTTCAGATTGTAGCCTGAGTGTGTTTGTAGCCTTATCAGTGTTACCTTATCAGTGTTTTAAACTTGATGCATTACCTTGTTGTGTTTGTAGCCTGAGTTTCAGATTCCAATGCAAGAGATAAGGGAGCTTGATGAGGAGGCTTATCAGTACTTGAACAACATCCCCACTGAACACTAGTGCAGGCATGCATTCAGTGATAGTTGCAGGTCCAACATGTTATTGAACAACATGTGTGAGACTTTCAACTCAGTTATAAGAGATGCAAGAGATAAACCTATCCTCACCCAAATGGAATGGATGAGGAGGTACATGATGAGGAGGAACAATGAGAAGTGGGAGGACTCCAAGGAACTGACAAGCAACCTCACTCCATATGTGCATAAGCTGTTTCAGAGGATGAGCTATGTGTCTAGGCTTTGCATTGTGCAAGCTGCCAGGGATGACACTTTTGAAGTGCAACTGAATGATGACCAAGTTCTAGTTGACTTGGAAAAAGCAACTTGTTCCTGCAATCATTGGCAGTTGACAGGCATCCCATGTGTTCATGCCTTTCCATGCATTATGGACCAAAGGAGTGATGCTGAGCAATATGTGCACCCCTTTTACAGTATGGAGACCTACAGAGCTGCATATGAGCCTACAATTCAACCAATGCCAGGCCCAAAGCACTGGGAGAGAGTGAACATGAGAGAGCCTCGGCCACCAGCCTTTAATGTGCAGCCTGGAAGACCAAAATCCAAGAAAATAAAGCTTGAGCCTGGTGAGGGAACATCTGCAGCAGGGGGGCAGCAGAGAGCACAGAGAAGGAAGAGTCAGTGCAAGAGCTGTGGTGGATTTCGCCACTATGCCAAGACTTGCAAGCGCCCAACTGTACCTGAACCCACGGATGACAGAACTGCAGGAAGGCCCCCTTTGAACTTACCATGGGTTGTTGAACAGAGGAAGAAGAGTGAGATCAGAGCTGCTAAGAAGGTATTCTTTGTTACTAGTATATTTTTGGGTATATTTTGTGATGGAGTTGGATTTTTATACTAATGTTTACTTATATTTCAAACACAGAGTGCAGTAGGGGCTGGTCCAAACATCATTGGGAACAAGACCTTTCCTCAAGAGCAACCAGGATGTGAACCACTAAGTAAGAGGAAAGGTTCACAAAGTCAACAAGGCCAGCCACAATCCAAGCAAAATATGACCCCCTCTTCCAGTCAACCAGATCCCAGAAACACAGACAAAGTTCAACTCAGTGGTGTGCAAACAAGGAGAGCCAAGCTGCAGACTTTAAAAAATGAAAATTTGACTCAGTGATGTTGTTTTTCTGAACAATTAGTGTTAGGGTGATATTATGAACATTAGCATGAAATATTTTGAACAATTAGTGTTGCAGCCTATATTGTTTAAGTAACTATTTGGTGCTAGGCTGTAAAAGCCAGTATGATTAAGCAATGTAACTAACTTGCTCATTTTGTTCATTGGAATATCATATATTTAGGTGCTTGGATCAAATCATTCCTTACAAAATATGTGTTCATTACTTTGAAAAAGTGGTTCACTCCCACTTATAAAACATTACAAAATCATTACTACTAATGGTAATGACACAGGACAAATTATAATTAACCATTACAAACCCCCCAATAACTAGCATCACTAATATGACCAGACTAATCTTCCATTTCTTCCATGCAGCTCTCTGTTCATCTTCTTCCTGTCAGAGTTTAGAGCCTTGCATTTCAACTTCAGCCTGTCCACTTCATTGAGCAAACACCTCATCTGTCCACTAAGATCATCAACTTCCCTTTTGTAGTCACTAATTTCACCCTTCAACAGCTTCTTATCCAACAACAAATTGTTGATCACCTCTGTTTGCCAGGCTGTTCCATCTTGTTCATCCACCCATTCAAATGCTTTGCACCCTCTACTCTCAGTTACAGGATCATAGAACTTGCACGTTCTAAACTTTTGACCAGGGTTCTCTCTTGTCCAACTGGTAAGCTTCGCAAAAGGAACACCACACTTGCACTTCTTCTCCCCTGAAGGAGACGAAGCTATGAAAGACATTTCCTGCATCAAAATGCCAACCACAATAAGCAAAACCATTCGCCCTTTGAAAAACCATACAATTCCACCAAGGAAATTAAACAATTACTACTATAAATCAAAACCCCCAATTTAATTTTGGCGACGAACCCTAATTTCATCTTTTCGCAATTTATAGAACAATTAACACACAACGAACCCTAATTGAATGAAATTGATGAATACTAACACATGCGAACTGAATAATGCCCTTAATTCAACAACATAGTTTGATTTACATGAAATTTAAGTAAGATAAATTGGGGTTTTCTGCAGTGGTTTTGACACAACTACCTGATTTCAAATCTTCCTATCTTGGACAATTATGCTAAAATCGAACAATCTGTGCAATTTTGTTGTTCAATTCGTAATATTTGACCCAAATTTTGTGAAAACGTCAACAATTGAATGTTTTTGAAGTTTATCGTAACTGTATACATCACTGAGAAAAAAATAGCCGTTGCAGTGGGCCCCACTAACAGTTTCACTAACGGCATAACCATTTAGGTGGTGGAACCAAAATTTTTTGTTTTTAATAGGTGTTATAATAAAATATCGAAATGTTTAGGTGTTATAAGCAAAAAAAGTGATTTTAATAGGTGTTATTTTCTAATTTGGCCTTAATTTAATTAATTTAATTTGGAGTAAGCAATAGACGAGGTTGTCCAACCCACCAAATCATTTTGGTCCCAAATGACCATTTAAAATAAAAAAGTAGCGCGATGTAAGAATGGACGTGACTCCATTCTCACAAAGTTAGTCTAAGATCCCATTGAACTTTTATTATAAAATAAAAATGTAAATACCAAAAGAAAAGAGGACATGTTGATCAAACAAGCCTCGCAAAGCCACGGGCTACCACCGTGTACCCTAAACCATAATTGTAATATTCTAGAAGTGCACGCTTTCTAGAGTTCTATTGCTCATCCATGTGTTCACTTTACGTGATTACAAGTTAATTAATAGCCGACTCATTCAACTAAACCACACATGGCGATCATACATATAATTCACTTTTAGTCTTATTTAGGACAACGATGATCACATCGCAAATTGACCTTTAATTCCATTAAACTTCCAAGATATCCAAAATTGTTGAACATAGTCAACCCACCTGGCCATTTCGGCTTAATTCACCTTTACTCAATATACTAACAAGTCATGCTTGAATAATAAGTAAAATAATAATAACTTCATGGAATAATTAATAAATTCATTCCACTTAAACCATTCAATTTCAAGCCTTTAATAATCCAAATATGGTTAACAAACCAATCCAATAAAAATATGCTTGTATAAACATTCCATACAAACAATTAATCCAATATAATTCAACATGCTTGCATCCATAATTTCATACAAACATAATCAATTCACCAAAACATGTCTCATAAACATAAGCACGTGAATTAATTCAATGTTTAACCAAACAATTTCCATCCAAGTGTTCTCTAAACATGAAACTAAGTTCTTTCCTTTTGGTATCTAAATATGATACTACTTACAACAAAGTAGACATGTACGTACCTTGCATAAACAATCATTTGTGCCACTTTTACTCAATTAAAAGTCTCCTTGGGAATAATCACCTCCTAGAAAACAACCAACAATTAAATATTAAAACCCAAACTAATTTCAAGCAATATAATTTTATTAAAAACTCCTTAAAACATCCTTTAAAACATGTTTTTATGCTTAATTAATGATTAGAAATACATTAAACAAAATCCCCAATTTAATTGCTCATTAGAACCCTAAAATCCCAATTTAAATAAATTAACACCCTAGGTTTTAAAACCATAAAATTTGAAAATTAAACAACAATTATAATTTGATATTATAGGTTTAAAATATCAAAAACATAATTTTGATACTACACAAATCAATTTCAAACAATTAAATTAAACCCAAAAAAATTAATCAAGTACTAAGCAAAATAAAAAAGAAAAGAAAAGAAAGAAACAAAGGAGGAGGAAGAAGAGGGAGCCACGGTGGGTGGCTGGTGGTGTTTGCCAGCGATCGGAGGTGGCGACAGTGGCCGAAGTCCGGCGGGGTAGGTGGCGGCAGTTGTTGGAAATTGAGGCATTGCTCACGTATAAAATAAGGGGAAAAAGAAAAGAAAGAAAAGAAAAAAAAATAATAAAAGAAAAGAAGAAAAGAAAAATAAAAATAAAAATAAAGGAGAAAGAAAATAATTCTAACCTTTTTGTGTGGGGAAAATTTGGGGATTCATGGGGTATTTATAGGAGAGAATTGTAGGGTAGAATTGGGGTTCATGAAAATAATGGGCCAATTAAATAAACAAATGGGTTAGAATTTGTTTTTATGATCATGAATTGTAGGATATACATACATAAAATAATTTAGCCTAAAATAATTTTTGACCAAAATTAATAATTTGAAACTTTAAAATGAAATTCTTGAAATACAAATAAATATTATAAATAAAATAAAATTTCATTTATATATTGTTTAAAAATATGGGGGATTACATTTGTCTTTCACCAAAGCAAATTCTTGCGGGCTAAAGCCCAGAGAGGAAAATATTTATATTAGTGGGCTCCTCATGTTGACTTGGAGTGTTTGCTAGTACCTGCTGGTCTATCTCTAATTATGATTAGAGAGTAGGATGGAAATTAAGTCGTTGGTAAAATTATACAATATTATTGATCTTAACCAAAGTAAAACTAATAACTTTGAAAAATTTAAAGAGATAGAATACGAAGAAAAGAAAAAAAAAAGAGGATATTTTAGCTAAGAACAAATTAATTACTTTAAGTAAGAGCAAACTTTTTAGGTTTTTCTTTGATTTGTGTATTTTTCTTGATTTTAAACCTCCATAAAAACGCATAACAAATAGAATAATTATTTTAAAAAACATATATATAGAAATATTGATGTGTAAATAATGGTTTTCATACACAAATATTACCATTTCAATAAAATAAAAGATGTGAATTTGAGGACTTATCTAAAACTACATTCATCGGTAAAGTTTAACAATCCCAAGAGTTTAGGGGCTTTAATTTGTTTTTTTTTCTCTCTCTTGTTGTTGTTGACAACATTGTTACTCAACTTGACTCCAATGAACTCAATTGCATGTCAAATTTGTATGACAGATTAATTTATTTTGGTTCATAAATGTTATGACTCTTGTAATATTGACTTTAAACGAATATGGCCGAAAATAATAATTTTCATCATACATTTGAATTTAACATCTATACAAGTTTACAACGCATATACTCGTATAGAAAGAGTTCTTTTTATTTAGGGAAAAAATCTTACAAATTATGAACCCATCAACCTCACATTAATCAAGTAGGTGTGCACGATCTGGTCGGCCGGGTGTTATCCCACTATATTTTTTTATTACTTTTCTTTAAAAAATAATTAAATATTAGATGTTAAATTAGTCTTTATATTTTTTTAGTGAGAATCTAAGGCTAAAGTGAGAACAATTTAAACCATTAGATCATCACAATCGGACGATCAAGATACTTCTCTTTCTTATTAAAGGCATTTTCGTGATATTATAACTTCTCAAATTAATATCTAGTTTCCTTATTTTAAATCGTCTACATTTCTTTTTAAAACAATTTAGTTTACTTGTACTTGCTATTTTTTATATACTTTTTAAATCAAATGAACAAAAATTGTGTTAAAAAAAAAAGATTTGATAGTTTGTTGTAATTCTTGTAAATGCTACTATTTGAATATTATTAATGTGTTTTATTCATCAAATCTTAAAAACAAAAATTATAAAATAAAAAGTGATAAAAAGTTGTAAATATAATTTACTATAATGTTTATTCGCTTTACTTTTAAAGAATTATGATTCCAAAACAATCCAATGATGTGGTTAGTGCATAATTTCACAATACACACACAAGCGCGCACACATATAGTAAGTTAGATTGTATTTGAGATATTAACGTTCAAAAAGATTGAACCTTTAAAAAAAATTTACTTTTGAGGTGTTAATATTCAAAATTGTGCATTAGTAAACATGCAAAATCGAAACAAGGAGAAAAAAAGATAACAAGGAGTGCGTATTATTTATTTAAGAAGCATTAATGGATAAAATGCACCCATGCAAGACACTTAGAAAGAGAGATAAAAATTACTACAAATTAAAGTATTATATCACTAACAAATAAAGTCAGTCTCGAAACCAAGGCACGAGATAGCGACACTTGACATATCAGTTTTCCGCCAAGTGTCGCGTC